TGCAGACTTCCAGGCACCAGCATCTTAAGGGTGAATCCTCCCTGCCCAGGGCCTGGCCCAGTCGGCCAGGTGTGGAGCCTAGGCCCTGCGTGGTGCGGAGACCTTCTGGTCCTGTCATCACGGATGCTCCGAGGTCCGGCTTCCTCCTGGGAACTCAGTTCTAAGTGCAGATAGGGTCTGAGACCTCAGCCTTGTGCGGGGCTCACCCAGAGCCCCGGGCCCCTTCCTGGCTCAGACGCCCTGCGGTGGCCTCTGTGTCACTCTGGCTTGAATGCTGTCCCCGGTGCCCTTTTTCCTGCCCTGGAGGTCAGCACTGTGTCTGAAATAGTTGATGCAGCCTCTTACCTGTGTGTGTCTGGAAGCCCCCAGCCTCCGTCTGGACCGGACCTTCATCTGCACCTTTATTTCCTCCGTTCTCTGCACCCAGCCTGAGTCCTGGGCACTCGGTATCATGTGCTCTGCTTTTGTTGTGGTTCAGTCTCTCAGTCATGTCCGACTCTTTGGGACCCCACGGACTGCAGCACGTGAGGCTTCCCTGTCCTTTACCATCTCCCGGAACTTGCTCAAACTCAAGTCCATTGAGTCGGGTGATGCCATCCAACCATCTCATCCTCTGTCGTCCCCTTCTTCTCCTGCCTTCGGTCTTTTCCAGCATCAGGGTCTTTTCCAGTGAGTCAGTTCTTCACATCAGGTGGCCAGAGTATCGGAGGTTCAGCTTCAGCATCAGTCCTTCCAATGAACATTCAGTGGATTTCCTTCAGGATAGACTCTGGTTTACGGCCTGTGCTCCTCGGAGTTGCTCCAAAGCACCAGGCACACTGCCAGGCACCCAGACTGCATACAAATGCTGGTTCTTAAATTAAAGAGTGACTTTCAACATTTTTGTCACCAACAGCCAGGCATGCTGTCTGGCTGCAGCTCCTGCCCTCCCCCAGAGGCCAGTTCATGCTTCAGGAGTGAGGTCGGTCCTCCAGCAGCAGAGGGGCAGAAGGGTGGTCACCAGGGGACAAAAACAAGGGGCCCTTCAGTGGACTTTAAAAGCCAGTGATGCCCCTGGAGCTGCGGAGGGCTGTGGGCAGAGGTGGACCGCGGTTCCCTGGAGAGTTGGACTGTCCCCTGGAGAGTTGCAGGCCTGCAGGCCTGCACCCCTGGAAGCGGGGTGTGACAACGGTAACAGCAGCAGCTGCGATCTGCCAGCGCCGCTCAGGCCAGACGCGCACCAGGTGCCTCAGGGGTCCTGACGTCCACGACAGCTGCTGACCCGGTGTGGAGCGGATCCACCTCAAAGCCGGGGTGCCCGGGCAGGAACCACACAGTGTCCGTGCATCCGGACACCACCCGTCTGTCTGTCTGCACACACTCCTCACTTATCAAAGCACCCTGGGTGCCCTTTGCACTATCAAGTTTTGTTTTTACATTTGCATGTTTCAAAGAACATTTTTAGGTTTTCTAACGTATTCACATTAGTTCAGTTCAGTCGCTCAGTCATGCCCGACTCTGAGACCCCATAAACTGCAGCACGTCAGGCCTCCCTGTCCATCACCAACTCTCAGAGTCCACCCAAACCCATGTCCATTGAGTTGGCGATGCCATCCAACCATCTCATCCTCTGTCGTCCCCTTCTCCTCCTGCCCTCAATCTTTCCCAACATCAGGGTCTTTTCTAATGAGTCAGCTCTTTGCATCAGGTGGCCAAAGTAGTGGAGTTTTAGCTTCAACATCAGTCCTTCCAATGAACACCCAGGACTGAGCTCCTTTAGGATGGACTGGTTGGATCTCCTTGCAGTCCAAGGGACTTTCAAGGGTCTTCTCCAACACCACAGTTCAAAAGCATCAATTCTTTGGCACTCAGCTTTCTTTATAGTCCAACTCTCACATCCATACATGACCACTGGAAAAACAACAGCCTTGATTAGACGGACCTTTGTTGGCAAAGTAATGTCTCTGCTTTTTAATATGCTGTCTAGGTTGGTCATAACTTTCCTTTCAAGGAGTAAGCATCTTTTAATTTCATGGCTGAAATCACCATCTGCAGTGATTTTGGAGCCCAGAAAAATAAAGTCAGCCAACTGTTTCCACTGTTTTTCCATCTATGAAGTGATGGGACCGGATGCCATGATCTTAGTTTTCTGAATGTTGAGCTTTAAGCCAATTTTTTCACTCTCCTCTTTCACCTTCATCAAGAGGTTCTTTAGTTCCTTTTCACTTTCTGCCATAAGGATGGTGTCATCTGCATATCTGAGGTTATTGATATTTCTCCCGGCAATCTTGATTCCAGCTTGTGCTTCCTCCAGCCCAGCGTTTCTCAAGATGTACTCTGCATATAAGTTAAATAAGCAGGGTGACAATATACAGCCTTGACGAACTCCTTTTCCTATTTGGAACCAGTCTGTTGTTCCATGTCCAGTTTTAACTGTTGCTTCCTGACCTGCATACAGGTTTCTCAAGAAGCAGGTCAGGTGGTCTGGTATGCCTATCTCTTTCAGAATTTTCCTCAGTTTGTTGTGATCCACACAGTCAAAGGCTTTGGCATAGTCAATAAAGCAGAAATAGATGTTTTTCTGGAACTCTCTTGCTTGTTCGATGATCCAGCAGATGTTGGCAATTTGATCTCTGGTTCTTCTGCCTTTTCTAAAACCAGTTTGAACATCTGGAAGTTCACGGTTCACGTATTGCTGAAGCCTGGCTTGGAGAATTTTGAGCATTACTTTATTAGCGTGTGAGATGAGTGCAATTGTGTGGTAGTTTGAGCATTCTTTGGCACTGCGTTTCTTTGGGATTAGAATGAAAACGGACCTTTTCCAGTCCTGTGGCCACTGCTGAGTTTTCCATGTATTTTCATGTGAATTTTCATATAACTATTCACAGAATATTTATGTGAATATTATGTATTCACATAAATGAACTTTTTTTTTAACCTTGCCTGTCATTAAATCCTCATGTATTTTTAAAATTGAAAATAAAAAATAAGATAAACAAACCCTCTAGCATTTGGCCCGGGAGCCGGGCCCCCAGACCGGCTCCAGGAAACCCCTCTCGGCCAGTTCTCCCCATCAGGTGTGTCCTCCTACCTGTGACAGGTGGGAGCAACACCTGGGCGGAGCCTCGGAGCCTGGCAGTGATGGAGACACCGCTGCCTGTCCTCACGGGCGTCTGAGTCTCTGAGAGGCCGTGTGGATGCCCAGGTCTGCAGCCCCCAGGGCTGGCAGATAGCGCCGCTGCCCCTGGGCGCTGTGAAGGCAGGGAAGCCTCCATGGGGGGGGGGTTGGGGGTGCAGTCTCCCGACTGCAGAGTGGACGTACCGCGGTAGCAGGCTCCTCTCAGTGGTGGGGAGGTCAGGGATGAGGCACCGAGGCTGAGGGCAGTAGATAGCACCCTTGGCTCGAGGGCCTGCAGGTGTCCTCAGTTTTGCCTTCTGTTCAACGGGGCCATGAAATGCCCAGCCTGACACATCTACTATCTGTACACTGCTTGCCATTTGTGTTGGCACAAGTGCTAGGCGAGCAAGTGTTAAGTAAGGAGACGTCCTGAAATTCCAAGCAAGTGGAGCCAAGCCCTGGAGAGCAGCAAGAGTGAGCAGGAAAGGCCTGCGCAGGTGACACAAAGGGGGCTGCCCACTCCATCCTGCCCCGCGGAACGGTTTTTCTCTTCGCCTCTTAGAGCCCTGCCGGAAAGAGCAGGAGGCCCTGAGACGCGCAGGCCCCTGCGGGGGCAGAGCTGTCCAGCCCGGGCCGGCGGGGTAGGCTGGCCTTGGCCCGAGGGCGGCCTCCTGGCGGGTGGCCCTTCCCTCATCTGGCTTCCTCCCCACCGCTGCCCGACTCTGCGGGCACCCCGAGCGGGACCCGGCTCTCGAGGAAAGCCACATGAGTCCAGGGCACAGCACTGCTCTGCTGGGGGCTCTCCTGCCAGGTGAAGAGGGGCCAGCCTACTAAGTTGAAAGTTTGCCGCTTTCTTCCCCTCTCTGGCGTCTTTGAAAAGGAAGCCCCATTAACAGCTGCCTCGGCCACAGTGAACACTTAAAGCAAAGACACAGCTGACTTCTGGCTAGAAACTAGTCTTCATCAGTAACTGAATAACAGAAACACAGCGGAGCTGGTGAAAACCTCTCTGGTGTCTCATACTCCGGGCTGGGGCGGGGGTGGAGTTTGGCACAGAAGAGGGCTGGGAGGGAAGGAAAGAGAGAAAAGAGGCTTTTCCGGAACGGGTACAACCTCACTTTCTGTGTAAACATCTCTATCGAAGGGCGGTGTTTTCTCAACTTTGGCTAAACATTAATCCCCTGGGGAGCTTAAAAGCCTCTAGTTGCCCAAGTCATACCCCCCGGCCAGTGTGTTCAGTTGTTTTTTTCCCCTAAAGTCAGGAAGCCAAACAGTAAAAGTGACAGGCGGTTCTAAAAGCCCCAGTGGACTCGTCCAGGACAGGGGGCGGTCAAACCCCTGCAGGAGACCAGAGAGTAAATGCGCCTGACTTTGCCACATCATCTCGGTCGTACCTGCTCAACTCTGCCAGCATGGCGTGAGAGTGGTCATGGATGACAGAGGTGGAAACACGTGAGTGCGGCCCGTGTTCCAATAAAACTTTATTTACAGACACAGACAGCGGGCCAGAGGCCGCCCAACCCTCACCCAGAGGAGACGGGGAGAGGCTCTGCTAAATCTCTCCTAAACATCATCAAACAGGTTTCCTCCTCCCAACACGGGACCCTGCCCTTCGGAAGCCCATTCGGGAAAGCCACGTCAGAACACCCAGCATCGGGGAAGCCTGGCCAGACAATGGGGCCAGAGGGGGCGCCAGGGGCTGTCCTGCTCCTCCATCTGCTTTTGTGTATGTTAGAATGTTTTCCAAGATGAAACAGTTAGAAGAGGAAATTGTTTTAAAAAAGAAGGAGAGAAATTCCCTCATTAAAAACCACAAGCTGGACCTGGAGGCCATCTGGGCCCGGGGAGGGCGGGCGGGGACTCTGGGGGCCGTCTGGGCCCGGGGCGGGCGGCGGGTACTCACGACCAGTAGAGCAGCATGAGCAGGAAGGGGCAGATGATGAGCGCCTGCAGCACCTGCCAGTCGCGGCACAGGGCGGCCAGCCCGGGCATGAGGAACTGCCCCGCCGTGGTCACGAAGCTCGCCACCATCGTGATCATGAATCGCTTCCCCGGGGGGCACAGCTCTATTCCTGGAACACAGAAGGGACGAGAGAGCCATGAGCGCCCGGCCTGCCCGCTCCCCTTCGGGCTGAGACGCTCGTTTCTTAGCAGCTGGATGAGCTTGGGTCCCCAGCGTGAAGGGTCGCAGAGGAAGTCTTGGCAGAAGAACGTAGGGATGGAGAGCAGCCGGCCCGGGATAGGAGATGCTGCTGCTGCTTCACAGGAAGACCGAGCGACATCACCCGCAGCCCCCAGCCCTAGGCTGCCCTTTCCTCTGCCTCTGCCCTGCGCCCTCCCCACCTCCGCTCAGAAGTCCTCCAGACCCCCACCTCACCGCCCGCCCTGTGTCCCAGTTCCCGCTGGACTCTGAGTTCCAGGCAACCCGCTCACACGTGAGCCCAAATCAGACCAGCCACATCCGGCCTTTCTTCTGAACCAGACAGGAAGCAAACCGTAAAGCAGACTGCATCTCCTAGGGTGGGACTCACTGAAGCCCCCCCACCTTCGCCCTGGGCTTCCCACGCAGCCCTCTCAGATGACCGCTCTGCCAGCAGGGGCAGGTCTGATTCACCTGTGAAGCTCCAAAAACACAGTGCCTGCCTTCAATAAATGTCAAGGTCATCACAGTCCCTCCTGTTTATAAGAATCTATGCTCTTAACCTGACCTTGAGTAAGGAAGATGGTCCCCAAACCTTGAACTGTAGCACCCAAGTGACAACCGGTGCCCACCCACTGCCATGAACTCCTGTGATCAAGGTCCCCAATCCTAGAACACCCAGCTGGGTTTGATACATGTTTCCCCCTATAGAGCATGGAGTCTGTTTGCTATTCTTCTTCAACAATTTGCAGGATTCCTAAAGTTTCCTTTTTTTTTTTAAAGTGTAGTTAAAATGAATTTTTAAAAAAGCAGAAGAAAGACCTCAGGAGACACTCCTTCTCACGCCTCTGTCCCCAGAGATGGTAGGTCAGTGGCTACAGACCCCCTGCCAGTTGTCTAGAGGTCAGAGTGGAAGTCAGAGGGAAAAAGGCAGTAAGAAGGAAAGCAGATGAGGGGGGAACAGGTGAATCACATTTGGTCACAAGGACAGAATTGGCGCTAACAAGGATCATGCACTATGCCAGCCAACACCTCCGCCAGCTCACACACAGAAGAAACAAGAGTCATCAGCGTCTCCATCTCCGCCCTGCCACAGACAGACAGGTCACCCTCACAGCTGTCCATGGGTAAGAGAGAAACCCGGCCTTGCTGATAAAGAACCTTTGCCATTTAATGAAGAAAACAGGACCAAACAGCCCTCTCCTGGCCATTTACTGCGATGCTGTAACTTTCAGGGCCGGGGTCAGGTTCAGTAAAGGATTACTTCCTAGCGTGGCTTGGGTATTCACCCCAGATCTGGCATTTCTGCGCTTAAAAATAGGGAGATCAGGGTCTTTTAGAAAAGACCGACAGTGGCAAGTTCTAGTTTTCATATATTAAGCAAGGGCAGAGGATGTGTTGCTATGGAAACCAGAACTCAGCATCAGCCAGGGCAAGTGTGATGCTCTGAGGCTCGGCACTGGCTAAGACCGGATGAGAAAATTGAGCACCCGGCCACCCAGGTAACCTACAAGCAAAGCCAGAGAGATAACCACGGCTTCACGTCCTCGGGCCCTGCACACGGCTGGCAGTTTTCCTCTTCCCTGCCTGGCTCTTTAATTTCACGATGCAGTAAGCAAACATCTGCAGCTGCCATGGTTCCCCCGGATCCCTTGGGGATGTCTGATCCCACATATCAATCTACGTTACATGCTGACACACCTAGGGTCACAGGTAACTTCCGGAACCTGGGTCGAGGATTGTGGATGGCAAAGGCGCTTCGCCCCTCGACGTGCGTGATTCCACAATCTGACTCCTCCCTCTCTCCTCGCTGTGGCCGCGTCTGTTAGGGTTACACTGCCAGGGTGCGCCTTCTGGAGGGTCTCTCCTTGATCACCCTGAGCGGCCCGAGTGAGTCTCTAACTCCTGGCTACCCGGCCGGAAGCAGCAGCGCCACCAGGGAGCTCGTTAGAGACACACAGCCTGGGGCTCCGCCCAGACCCACAGGATCAACGTCTGCATTTTTAACGAGATCCCCAGATGCCTTGCGGAGAAGCGCTGGCTCACTCTGTCCCCCAAACCGTTAAGCATCACCCCCAGCAGGAGAAATGTTTTTGCCTCTCGGACACACATCTGCGAGAGCTGAATAAGCAACATCATTTCCGGACCTCTCCAGGGCTGCTGTTTCGCTAGGAATGCTAGCAGAGGTGTTACTTTCTCTCAGGTAGCTAAACGTAGAGCATTCCAGCAGATCCTGGGTGTTTCAGCCTTCCTGCGGGGGCAGTGGAAAAACACAGCGATCTGATGTAAGGGCACACAGATGACACTTGCAGACAACGACCTTCTGCCTTGACTCAGCAGGACTTCGTTCCAAGCTGCCTGAAAGCAACTGTGCTCTGAAGGGTGGCTGTAAAGATGTTTAAAAAAAAAAAAAAAGCAATTATCAAAGAACCGCAGGCACTTCGGGTTTGCCATAAATCACATGTTCCTTTTGGACGATGAGAAATCAGCTTTTCTGAGGTGAGAGGAAGGCGAACTGCAGCGAGTGAGTCCCGAGTCTCCGCAGCCGGTGGGGGTGTGGGGGGGGGACTTCAGGCGGACGGTTCTCCCGAGAGAGGCTTGGCGCAGGGCTGCACACGGGTGCTCCCGACCCTCATTCTCTCTTAAATGTAGTATAAATAGACTTCCTGTGCACTTGCTGCAGGAAGGCGGGGGGTCGACGTTTTCTTGAGATCACACGGCGTTCCCGGGTCTCGGAATCTCCGGGGTTTTTCCGGGCGGGGGTCTGCAGTAAGGCAGGAGTGCGCCTGCGCAGGAGGAGGAGGCCGTGGGCCGGGCAGGGGAGGCGGGGCCCCACACAGCCCACTCTCCGCGCTACTCCTCCTGGCCCACGAAGTCGGTGACATCCATCGGCCGGACAGCGACGCACGTCTAAGTGCCGCACCAGGCTGTCGTCCCTGCCGTCCCAGGCCGGGCGCGGAACGAGAACCCATCAAAGCACAGGGCACTGCGGGGCACTCGGCCGTCCCCACGGAGGGTGAGCCGGCCACGGGCCACCGGGCGTGGCGCGGCCGCTCAGAGGCCACGCGTGCAGACGCGCGTCCTCCACGCCGCGCCTGCGCCCGGTCCTCCAGCCGCCTCTGCCACCAGCCCAGCGGCTCAGGAGCTGCTGCGGAGAAACTGCCGGAGGAGGACAGCGGCCCCTCCCCGCCCCCACCTGGGGGTGCTGCTGCCCCCCTGGGCCTGGGCTCCTCCCCCGCCCCCCACCTGGGGGTGCTGCTGCCCCCCTGGGCCTGGGCTGCTCCCCGCCCCCCACCTGGGGGTGCTGCTGCCCCCCTGGGCCTGGGCTCCTCCCCCGCCCCCCACCTGGGGGTGCTGCTGCCCCCCTGGGCCTGGGCTGCTCCCCGCCCCCCACCTGGGGGTGCTGCTGCCCCCCTGGGCCTGGGCTGCTCCCCGCCCCCCACCTGGGGGCAGCTCCCTGGCCGCTGCCCCCCGACACCTGCGGGCCCCTCTGCTCTCCCTTGCTTCCTGCCGCTCACCGCGCTGGCCCAGAAGGGGACACTCCCCTCACTAATTACCATCCTGGCTGAGGACACGGGGGCCCCAGAGCCCCGGAAGACCGACCTGCCACATATCATTGTGGAATTCCTTATTATAGCAGGAGCGCCCGAAATCGCCAGTCACGGGGACTCAAATAGCACTCGAGGGCGTGAGCGCAGAAGGCTGCGATCATCTTCCCTGCCCCCGGAAAACTTCCTTTTCCTCTCAATTTAGGACCTGCCAACCCAGTGGAATGGTTAAAACTGCCTCCCTTAGAGGAAGAGAAAATAAAAAATATAGAAACATCAGTATTTCCTACAAATCACGTTCCAGTGTCTGCCAGACGTGCTGACGCAGACATTTAATGCTCAAATGCGGAAGAACCGCACCGCTCACCCGCCAGGCAGCCCGCCGGGTCTGCAGCGCTGGGCTGAGGCAGGCTCTCCCTCCCTGGGGCTGAATGCGTCGGTGGGCATTTTTCACGTATGAAACTCACTCATCTGCTCAACTCTCTGATGGAGGTACTGATTCTGTTCTGTTTTTCAGAAGAACACCTGGTTTGTCAATTTTATGGTGTCCAGCACAGTATCTTACAGATACTGTTGTTTAAAAGATAGCAATTCAGTAAATTGTTTTTATCAAGCCAAAGAATTGTTATAGTCAGTACACAATGATTTGTTCCTTAAATTCAATTAAGTGTTTGCTATTTGGACTCTCATCAAATATTCAGTGACAAACAACGTGAAACTACGTCAATTATAACACACATTCCTGATGTAATATCACCAGTGAAGTTTAGTTTTTAAAAACTTTTCAGTTTATATTGGGGTCTAGCGTAAGTGGGCTTCCCAGCTGGTGCTAGTGGTAAAGAACCCTCCTGCCAACGCAGGAGATGTAAGAGATGTGGGTTCAATCCCTGGGTCAGGAAGATCCCCTGGAGAAGGAAATGGCAACCCTCTCCAGTATTCTTGCTTGGAGAATCCCATGGACAGAGGAGCCAGGAGGGCTACAGTTCATGGGGTCACAGAGAGTCATATATGTGACCCAGCATGTACTAGTTTAAGTGCTGTTTTTAATATTCGTTTTTCTATCCCTGGGTTGGGAAGATCTGCTGGGGAAGGGAGAAGCTACCTGCTCCAGTATTCTGGCCTGGAGAATTCCATGGACTGGATAGTCCATGGGGTGGCAAAGAGTCAGACATGACTGAGTGACTTTCACTTTACACAAGAGGACCCTAAAGCCCAGAGTGATGAAGTGGCTTGTCCAAGATCACACAGCTAAGGAGGGGACAGAGCAGGACTTGCAGCCGCGTGCCCCCGCCTCCGTGTGTCTGCCCCTACCCCCTGCTGCAGGAAGGCCTCCAAGCAGGGCGCCCCCGGTGGCTCTGGCCTCTCGGCGGGACCCGCCGGATCT